TCAGTTTCAGTTTGGAGCTAGAGGAGGATGATTATTTCTCTAATGTCATTTGCTTCCTGTTGCTAAAACAGAGTTCCTTCAAATGAGATTGTATGCTAAGTCACGCCTCTCCTTCCTCCTCCTCTCTTGGATAAATTAGAGAGTAAGAGGAATCAATCCGGGGTTCCTCGCTGTGATGGACTGAGGGGCTCTATTTATTCCCTGCGGAGAGTGGCTGGCCACGGGAGAGGCCACAGGCTGGAGGACGGAGCTGACTCACAGCGTAGGGAGAAAGTGGCCTGGATCTTTGACAGAAGTGAGCAGTGTCCGATTCCGCTGGGGGAAGGAGGGAGAGGTTACGACAAAGAAAGCCATATCTATTCCACTGAGCAATTAATGCCATTATTTTTCTTGAAAAAGCATTTTCTCTCAAGCCATGGAGGAAAATTTAGCCCCCCATCTTGACAGAATGTACTAATGACTGCTAATGGATACATTCTTTTAATAAATGAAGAGGCACAAGAAAATTGCCAGATATTAAACAGAGTCCCGCATGTCTTATCTGAGTCTATAATGGCCCTATCAAGTGACCTAAGTGAAAGAAATGTGACTCTTCGGGAGTTAAAGAAGTCTATTTTCCTTAGTGCAAGATAAATTCATTGCTGGGAAGAACAGTAATTCATTGGTCTAGCCTAGGAAATGCTTAAAAGAGGGGCCATATCTCAAGTTAAATGATGCATTTCCTACTGATAGCAAAGAAAATATGAACTAGAACCTCCGTGCACTGTGGATTTATGTAAATAGCCTCTAAGAGCACAAGCAAAAGAGGCTCTGTTAGGTCTCTGATCCTTGGTATTTTCAGCCAAGAAGTCAAAGAGCCTGTTTAATTTGTTGTTAATTTTGTTCGTTCTTTTTTTCAATACCTTCCAGGGTGTTTTTTTGTTTGTTTGATTTGGTAATTTTAAACTCTATTCTTGGAAATGTTACTCAAGATTCAAGTAATTCCTAGTATTGTACTGTGGAGGAACATTTCTTAAAATTTATAAAGAATTCCAACAAATCAGTGATAAAAAGTTGAGCCAGCCCTGATGGCCTAGCAGTTCAAGTTTGGTGCGCTCCGCTTCGGCAGCCCGGGTTCGGTTCCCGAGTGCAGAACCACATCACTCATCTGTCAGTAGCCATGCTGTGGCAGTGGCTCACACAGAAGAACTAGAAGAATTTACAACTATACATAACTATGTACTGGGGCTTTGGGGGGTAAAAGGAAGAAAAAAGAAGGAAGATTGGCAACAGATGTTAGCTTAGGGCAAATCTTCCCCTATAAAAAAAAAAAAGAAAAAGACAGCCCAAAAGAAAAATGGCCAAAAAGAAAAATGAACCAGAACCTCAAAGAAGAACTGCCCAATAATCACATGAAAAGATAAATGATCTACATTGCTGTCTTCTGTAACTTGCTGTTTTCAATACAACACTATGGCTCTAAGCTTCGTCCATCTATGGTATTTCGTGTGGCAACATTCATTTTCACTGCTGTAGTAATATTTCATTGGGTGAGTATTCCACAATTCCATTCTCCCTACAATACAGGTAGCATGAGTCTATATTTATAAAGCTCAAAAACAGCTCAAAATAGATTGCAAAAAAATTTACATACTTGATAGAATTATTTTAAAAGAGCAAAGTAATGATAAAAACAAATTTCAAGATAATATTTCCTTGGGGGAGGGGGAGATTCACTTTGGGGATGGGATGGGAGAATGTATCAGTTATCTATTGCTGCATAACAAACCACAACAAAACGTAGTGGCTTAAAACAAAAACCAATATTGTACCCGATTCTCTGGGTCAAGACTTCAGGCAGGGTTCAGCAGGGTTGGCTTGCCTCTGTTCCACATAGGACCATCTGGCTCACTCATGTGGCTGCATTCAGCTGGGCTGGGCTGGAGGGTCAGGATGGCCCCACCCTCAAGGCTAGGGCATCTCAGACCTTTTCCACATGGCTTCTCTCTTCATGTGGTGTCTCATCCTCTCCAGGTTCTCTTTTTCCATGTGGCTTTTCCCTCCAGCAAGATAGCCTGGAGTTCTTTACCAGGGGAAAACACTTACGTAACACTTGCGTACACAAAACTTGATGGCAATTAAAATATAGTACCTAATGAAGGAGTGCTCTGTGGTCAAACACTATTTGGAAATGCTGCGTATGGCATCCCCCCTTAGAGATTTGCAATGCAAAATATAAGCTTGCTAAAAGCTATGAGAGGTCCTGGAAGGAGCAAAGAAGAAAGAACTTTTTTGGAGAGAAAAGGTGGAGATGTTCCATCTTCTCTTTCCTCAGGGATATATGAAAGGAGGGCTGGGTTAGAAAAGCTAGAAGGCCTGCCTTATGAGAACATCCTCATCATCTGAGATGGGCTATTCCTGCCCCCATCAGAGTCACAGTGTAACTGCAGGTGGCTCTTTCTGATTGCTGAGGCCTACCGCACACGTGTAAGGCCTGCAGGAAGTGGCCTCGAGGCCAGAGGGTCAACAGTGGCTCTCCTGGATCAGGTCACCTATGTCTCATGCCCTCCCCACTGCCCTGCCATGACCTAATCTTGGTCTTAGCTCACCTTCCTGAGTCCTGGCTCTCATTTGCTTTAACCCCTCTGACCTGCTTTGATCAATTATCTTGACCTATTTGGACTTGTCAACCTTCAGTTTGTCCCTGATGCCTGGTGACCATAAGCTCCTTAGAATTTCTTTTCTCTCATTTAATCTGAAGGTTAATCCATGCCAGTTTTAACAAACTCAGGCAATACCAAAAAGCGAAAGCCTCCCCTTGTCTATTCCAATCACACAGTCCCGCTGTCAACAGCTGAATTTCCTTCCGGATGATCTTCTACGTTTCTATAAACACACACGTGTGTGTGTGTATATTTGAACAAAATGGGTATGACTATGTCAACATAGTTCTGTAATCTCCCTTTCCATTTAATATTATATCATGTACATATAGTCTTCCCAAGTCTGTACATATAGACTGACGTAACTCTTTTTAATAGCTGCAGTACTCCATAGTATGGAAGTTTCTTTCTTTATTTAGCTGTTTCCCTCTTGATCAACATTTATGTTGTTCCTTATTTTCTGCCATTGTAACCATCATGGCAGTGATCTCCCTTATATGTGAATCTCTGCACATTCACGCTAGGGTTCTGAGGAACAAGTTTCCAGAAGAGGCAGTGCTGGATCTTAGGGCACGCCTGGCCTTCCCTATCTCATTATCCTCTTGACACTGATGTCTTAGAGACCTCTGCTGTCACCTGCCTGGCTGCCCAGACCACTCCATGGTCCACCCACTCCAGGGCCTGTCTTTGCTGCTCCTCCTTGTAGCGCCAATCCCTCATCACCTGCTCTCTGAGGCTTTGTCTGGCTGCCTAAGTTGCTCTCAACGGTTGACAACTATGCTTCAATTACAGCACTTGCCCCATCGTGTTATCATGATTTTTCTACTTGTCTAATTTCCCCTAGACCAGAAATTTCCAAAGGCATCATCAGTGCCTGGCACAGGGCTTGGCACTCAACACATGAATGAATGAATGAATTCATTAGTAAATTTAATTGAACTCACACTGTGTACTAAGCACTGGCACTGTGTACACACAGCTATGAACAAAACCAAACTCCCTGCTCTTGAGTGGGTGGAGACACACCTCAAATAATTGTAAATAACTGATCAGATGATAATAAGTGCTATAAAGAAAAATAAGGCAGAGGGTGGCGCTAGAGAAAGCTATGGTTCACAGGTGGGTGACATTTGAGCAAAGACCTAAATGAGGTGGAGGATTGAGGCTGCTGATTGTCTGGGGAAGAACATTCCCAGTATGAATGTATGAGTGACCAAAAGGAGGCCAGGTAGAGGGCTCCCCACTCCCTGGTATGACAGGAAGATTCCTCAAAGGCCAAAAGGATTGAAACAAAGTTCACTCGATTACAGAATTTAACGTGAATGCCAGCTCAGGTTCCCCAGGAAGACTCCAAGATGAAGATTCCTGTGTAGGAGGATTGTGAGGGAGTGCTTGTGGGGAAAAGAGGACAGTGAGATTGGGCAGAGGAAAAAGCTGAGCTGTGGTGCAGTCTTAGTGGAGGTGTCCATCAACCCTTGGGGAGTTCTGAAGCTGGATGACACTTCAGAGCGGTCTTGAATTGGGGCGAGGGGGCTGGACCTTTTTGCCTCACCTCAGGCATTGGCCACCGTGGGAAGGGGTACAACCTTGGGTGCAATGGCTCTTCTTAGCCATTGCCATCCCCGAAGCGGGTCACAGCTGAGGCCTATCTGCCAGTGGTACTCCCAGCTGCTGAGGGGGTGAGTCCTTCATTCCTGAGGGAGTTGCTGGGTGGGTCAGCACAGTGTTCATCACGGTGAGACAAAGCGGCCTGTCGTGATGGGGAGCACAATAGGCTGGGGGTGGATGGTCAGTAGGCCCGGGTTCTAAGCCCTGTTGCTTTGGAGAGAAGATAAGAGGAAAAGTTGCTCAGATGATTTCCTGGGCCTATTTGCTCATGGGGTCCTTTCCCCTCACTGGCTCTTTCCTTCTTAAGCTCCCTGTCAGCTGTTTCTGACCAGGTCTGGCCAGTAGGAGCTGATCAGACACTACAAGCAGGAGGAAGGGAGAGGCCAGGTATTTCTTTCCTTCTTCTCTGCCTTGGACTGGATCTCCATTAGCAGCTATGTCTCTTCCTGGCTCCAACTCCCTTGTTCAGTCCCAGTATGGTTCCAGCCTCCATCAGGGACCCTCAGCCCTTGGCTCTGGTGACACTACTGTGGTAGACACGAGGTGCTCTGGTCTCCTTCAAGGAAGGGCTTGCTGCCCAACGGCAGGGGGCGCAGCCAGCAGCCAGCCTCCAGCTGTCAGCTCCTCCAGGGTCAGCCTTTCCTGAAGCAGCCCACATCCAGTGAGTGAGGGAGTGGGTATTAAAGGCCCAGCCATTTTGGCCTGATGTGGACACTGGTGGGCAACACGCCATACGTGGCCGAGGTTTAGTTCGTCTGCGTCACTGTGCGCCTTCTTCCTCTGCCATCCTGCTGCTTCTCCTTTCCCTTCCCAGGGGCTGGCCGCTAACAAACGTCCTGCACCCCATATTATGCTTCAGTGTGCGCTTCTGGAGAACCCAACCTGCAACACCACTCCTTCCCTCTGTCCTTCCTGCTTCAAAGGCTAGCGGCTTCCTTTAGTGCTAATCTCTGGGTGGCCTCGCCATGCCCCATTTGGACACTCAGATTTTGCATCACCTGTGTAACCAATTTACCGCATTACATTCCCATCTGTTTAAATACTTAAAGTTCTGTTTTCCCAGTTAGACTCTGCCTGATATACTGAGTTTCACATCTAAATTTAAGTTTAGATTCTGGTCTCTCCTCCTAAGCAATCGTGTTAAAGGGCCCGCTAACTCACACAAAAATATTAAAAAATATAGTCCTTTCCTTGGCCTCAGGGCCACCTGTCAGTTGGAAACTTGTGACATTGGGCCCTTTGAAAGAGAGGGCAGAACCAACTGTGGAGGTACAGCATGAGAAGAAAAACCAACAAGCAGCAGGTGAACCATAACCCCCCGTGGTCCTCAGACCCAGTGGCCCAGCACAGCTCCTCAACGCCACCTGCTCTCACCTGTGACTCCAGCTGAGGCTGGACATATTCAGCACCAGTGATCCCTGAGCTGGGCTCTGGCTTCTTTGCACTGCCCTCCCTCTTCCTCCCCCATTGTCGCTGTGTCTGGCTCTGAGGATGGCTGGCGTCTCTGATCCACACTTCCCTGGCTGTCTCCTGAGGGCAGGCTGGGACTAGGGTGAGGCCAGCAGGAGCCTAGGGCACACAACCTCAGGAGGATTCCCTTGTAGGGTCGTGCAGGTGCAGGGAGGGCCGCTGTCTCTGGAGGGTAAGATGGGAAACTGGCACTGAGCCTGTCCAGAGGCTGGGAGTAGAGGGGTAACCCCTGTATCAGCCAGGGTAAAGTCAGGAGACAGAAATCAGGTTGTTTTCATAACAGAAAGAATTTAATAGGCATAAATGTTAATTAGGTAAGTGAAATGGCAAACCAGGACTCTAAGGAGGTAGCCTGGAGGTAGCAACTGCAGGAAGCAGCCGCCACTCCTAGGGCTGGGGTCACAAAAGGAAGAGATTGACATTAGAACTTAGAAAGTCAGAGGAGGTCCTGGCGGCTGGAACCCAAACCTCTGAGAAGTGGATGCTACTCAGCTGGTGCTGGTGTCTCTGGGGGGCCCTGTGAGGCTGGCTCTATAGGTGTTGAAGACACTACAAATTGTATTCAACTGCTGCTGCAGGCCCGCTCGCTGCAGCCGGAACAATGCTTACAGGCACAGGAGGAAAAGGGAAGCAAACGAGAGGGAGCAAGTCCCTGCCTCCTCCTCCAGCCTAGCAATCGCCCTCGAACGCCCCCTATTGGCAAGGTCTGGCAGGGAGCAGCTGACAAAACTGGAGTTTGGTTTGCTAAGTCCCAGCCCCACCCCGAGTCACAAAGCTGAGTACAGAGGGATAGGTTTGCAGTGGAGAGAAAAGAGCTTTGAATAACTGGCATACCTTCCAAAGGGTCCATATCCATGGAGTCACAGAAAGACATGGCCTGTGACCTGGCCAGCAGAGGGTGACCCAAGAAAACAAGTCAAAGGCAGAAGCAAGACAACAATTCCAGGCCCAGCCAGTGACTGGAAATTCAGTTTGCAAATAGGATCAGCAACTCAGAGTTATCACAGCAAGATTTCAAGAACGTTCAGTGACACGCAGGAGCACTGCTAGAGCTACTAAGAACCCGGCCATATTGATGCAATAAGCCACCAGTTTCCATGTCTTTCTTCCTACCTAGCTCCCGCCCACCACACCCCCCACACACATTGTAGACTCCTCCTTCGTTGCTGTGTCTGCATTGTAATACAATGGTGAGACTTTCAACCACCTCTCTCAATGACATACCACATAAGTATAGTCCTGAATAAGTGACTGTATTTGTTATCTATTGCTGTGTAACAGATTATCCCAAAATTTAGCAGCATAACACAACCAACATTTATTATCAACAAATTAATAATAATAATAATAATAATAATTTATTATCTCACAGTTTCTCTAGGTCAGTTTGCCTTTGGTTCGGAGCTTCGTACAAGGTTGCAGTAAGGTATCCACCAGGGCTGCCTGCATCTCCATGCTCACTTAGGGGAGGATCCTCTACCAAGCTCGCTCACATGGCTGTTGGCGAGTCTCAGGTTCTTGCTGGCTGTTGGCCAGAGGCCTCCCTCAGTTCCTTGCCATGTGGGCCTCTCTACAGGGCAGCTCACAACATGGTACCTTGCTTTTCCCACAGCAAGCAAGCAAGAGAGCAAGAGAGAGTGAGAGACAGCAAGAAGGACAGAAGTCACAGGCATTTTTAACCCAATCTCAGAAGTGACATCCCATCAATTCTTTTTTTTTTTTGTGGTGAGGAAGATTAGCCCTGAGCTAACATCTGTTGCCAATCCTCCTTTTTTGCTGAGGAAGATTGGCTCTTGGCTAACATTCGTGCCCATCTTCCTCTACTTTATATGTGGGACACCTGCCACAGCATGGCTGGACAAGTGGTGCATAGGTCCATGCCCGGGATCTGAACCTGTGAACCCCAGGCCAGGGCAGCCGAAGCGGAGCATGCGAACTTAACCACTACGCCACCGGGCAGGCCCCCTCATCACTTCTGCTGTGTTCTATTTGTTAGAAGTGAGTCACTAGGTCCTGTCTACAATGGAGGGGAGAGGATGACACGAAGGCATGACCACCAGGAAGTGAGGGATCATTGGGAGCCATGTCAGAGGCTGCCTGCCACAGTCGCTTTTCTCACTGTGACTCAGGCCGTTGCACTAAATTTTTGACAGATATCCATTCTGCATGAGACACAAACTATGAAGGCTCAATTCATTATATGTTGAGTCTCCTGTCCTAATCGAATGATACTTTATAACAAAGTTAATTTAAGGCATATATAATGATACACATAAGTATCATGGCACTATATGGTAATTAGGCATCCATGGTAGAAGGCTCACCGAAATGACTGTAATTAGTACCATGTCTACACAGCCAAACCCATTTAACTTTTCTCTTCTCATTTGTTTAGGTCGCCAGTATCTATCATCAGCCTCCATGTTAATAGTTTTCTCCGATACCACCTACCACTTAATTATCACCCCACAAGCAAACTCTGACACTCACATAAACAACACAGATCCTAGATATTAGCATGCAATAGTTGGGTGCCTTGTCTCTGCTTCCTTCTTCCCAGTGGTTTCCGTTTCTCCTGCTCCCCACACAAGCAGCAGCAGCAGCAGGCTTAGGTAGCAGCAATGGGACCTAGAGGCTGTGAACGGAATTTCTTAAGGGAGGTGCTGACATAGTAGAGGGCTTGGTAAGAACAGCTCAAACCCCCTAGCACTTGAGAGCTGTCTACTGGAATTGTTAAAGTAGGTTGCCCCTAATTCTCCCCTCACCAGTTGCATATTGCTTGGGGTAATTTTAGCAGGGAATAAAGTCTTTAAACTTTTGACAACCACCAAAAAGTAAGCACGCAAACTGAGGCAAGAGAGCATCTTGACATGGAATGAACATCAGTTATTTGAGAACTGTTGTCAGATTCTTTCTTGTATTGATGGGGAAGAATGCAGAAGGAGGGCCAGAGAGGAAGGAAGGGGAAAGAAAATACCAGCAGTAGGGGAGGAGGAGCTGGTGAGTCAGAGACCTACGAGGTAGGGCTGCCATATAAAATACAGGACATCTGGTTAAATTAGAATTCCAGATAAACAGGAAAAACTTTTAATATAAGTATATCCCATGCAATACTTGGGATATACTTACATTAAAAATTTAACTGAGAATCCTGTATTTTTATTTGCTAAATCTGGCAACTCAACTACAAGATCAACCTCTCATGCTTTCTTTTCATCTCAGAATTTGCCATCATCTCTGATGGTCATGTTGTGGGCCCAAAGGGGTCCTTTCTAATGGCCACAATCCTGGCATTAATACTTCCCTCTCCTCCTGCTCTCCTCCTCCTGCCCCCAGTCCCCTAGGCCTCAAAGCCACTGTGTCACCAGCCCCAGGCAACTGCAGGGCCACATGTCACAGGAGATGCTACACACTCATCTGAGATCCCCTGCCCCTCTATCCCCGATGTACTCAATAGCCCCCAATCCAGAAGGCTGTGCCTCCAAGTCTCTAAGCACTCACGGTGTGAGTGTGTGTAAATCCAGTGTGACAGACGGATATTGAGACTAAAAGGGGACTCTAGGTATGGGTTTAAACACGGGCGAAACATTTCTCGCTGAGCAGTTCATGTTAAAAGAGATTTAATTTGCCCCTAAAGGGATTGAGCAGCCTGGCAGGGTAGCTGGGGGTTTACCCCTTAAGAGCTTCTCCCAAAATTCCTCTTTCAAGTTTTACAGTGTCACAGAGCCTATTGGAGTGGCCAAGTTTCTTGATTAACAAAGCAGATGAAACCACAGGAAATATTCACGTTTTCATGGTGGAAGGGGAAACCAAAATTTGGGTCTCAAAGGTTTCTAATAAACCAGAAAAAAACAGGTTCCATTAAATGCTAATCGCTTCCTCTAATTTTCTCTCTATCTGTCTATCTAATTGCAGTATGGGGGAAACTGTTGCTGGCCCCTGGGAGAAAGCTATTCTCTTTGCCACTTGTGCAAACAATGGAAATTTCCTGGATTCTTTGCTGCAGTTTTTCAAAGTTAATGGACATAGCTGACTTAAAAAAAACTAGCTGTTACCAGGGGCAAAAAGAAGTACAAGGAAAAATGCTTACCTTCAGACTCTCCAACGTAGGCAAAAAATTCTTCCTAAAGAGATGGAGAACAATGACAAAAATGCCCACGCTGTTCTTCATAAATCTGGATCCTGCTTCTCACACAGCAGGTTATTAGGTCCCAGGTGGGATGCTAAGACAGGGAGGATAGAAGGAACAAGATAGGCTCTAATCATCAGACCTGGGGGCCAGT